CTTGCCAGAATCTCATCATGATTAGCAAGAATGTCTAAATGAGCGAGGAAGTCTGTGCAGTCATTCTCCTCTTTGGGAGACTGGATAGTTCATCATCTTATCACTTTGGTCCTACTGCAGATGACCACTGATGCAGAACAGTTGCTGACCCCCACTGACCTGGTTCTCTTGACTGACCCATGGTTTCCACTGGACCTTCTTGTTCTTGGTCCTGTTCTGATTTTTTCCAGGATTCCTGCCTCATTGACTTGTTTGTGTTTGTTCTTTCTTGCTTAAATAGATTAAAGCACTAAATATATTTGTTTAATAACACAATATGTTTAAAAAGCACCAAAAACTTGAAATATTATGATTCTTCCATTTATTTTAAAGTAATGAAAATCAGGCATTTCCAATCACATCCATCCCTTCTTTTGGATTACGACTACCTTTTGTATATTTTATATTAACTTTTCTCTTTTCAGTGTTGTTAGAAATACGTGGGCTTCCATATAATTTATTCCAGATAATTACAATCATAATAATTATCTGTATTCTTGATGCTTAAATTGCCACAACCTGTTCAGTAGGATCCTCTTTAAGTCCCTTTATCTCAAAGATATTTGAAATTATCCTTACTTCCAGAAAATTTTCCAGAATCATTCTAATTTGTCCTACTTTCTTAAGTGAAGAATGATACTAGGGACCAAAATCTGGATACCATATTGAGATTTCTTGTTGGTAAAAGTGTTTCTGTTACTGTTGGGCCACTTTAATTAACAAGGCTTGAAAAGTATCCCTTTTTAAGATCATAAAGTCACATTACCTTTTTTTTCAACCGAGCCTTCATTTGCTCTACTCAACTCCTTATAATAGGATGATTCCTTCACCACTAAGACTTGCTAACATAACTGAACAAAACAAATCTAAATTGCCTCTCAGAAGATCATTTTTCCCTACAATGGCCATTTGATATAATTTTTGAAAAAAAAATTCTCTCATATAACCTTTCTATTTCCATTATAGCAGGCTAGGTTATCTGGGCTAAACTTCCTGCTATGCACAACCAAGAGTAATGAGTGAAATATTTCTAAAAATTTCTTAAAAACATTGTAGAGCCACCAAGTAAAGTAAGGAATTATCAGCCCAAAACTAAATAAGATGCAAGAGCCAAGGCAAGTAAGTGAAGCACTGAAACTTCTGTTTTGAAAAGGCATTTTCAAATCCTGGCAAACTTGAACTTTGATTTTGACGGCTTTGAGGGCAAGAGCTTAGAAACTAACACATACTTAAGGCGGCATGTCTTATTAGAGACCCTCCACATACCCAGCAGGACTCTCAAAGGGCCCCTTCTTCAAGATAAGAGTGAATCAAAAGTAAACAGCCCTCATGTACTGGAAGCCTTGATTCACATCACCCAAGTGGTCCATTAAAAAAATAAGCCTTAATAGGGGAGGGTATAACTCAGTGGTAGAGTGTGTGCTTAGCATGCACTGGGTCTTGGGTTCAATCCTCAGTACCTCTGTTTAAATAAATAAATAAATAAATAAATAAATAAACAAACAAACAAACAAACAAACCTAATTACCTCCCCTCCCCCTGCCAAAAAAATTGGGTGGCCACTTAAATGTTAGGCCACTGGCTTCTCATTTTAAAAATAAGCCATAATATATCCAGAAAAAATGAAAACTCTAATTCAAAAAGATACATGCACCCCAATGTTCATAGAAGCACAGTCAAATATTACCCAGCCATAAAAAAAAGAATGAAATAATGTCATTTACAGCAACATGGATGGACCTAGAGATTATCATACTAAGTGTAGTAAGTGAAGTAAGTCAGACGAAGACAAATAACATATGATATCACTTATATGTGGAATCTAAACAAAGCGATACACATGATCTTATTTATAAAACAGAAATAGACTCACAGGTATAGAAAACCAACTTATGATTACCAAAGGGGAAAGGGTGGGGAGGGATAAATTAGGAATTTGGAATTAAAAGATATACACTACTATATATAAAACTAAACAACAAGGACCTAGTATATAGCACAGGGAGCTATATTCAATATCTTGTAATAATTTGTAATGGAAAAAAATCAGAAAAAGAATATATATGTATATGTAACTGAATCACTTTGCTGTGCACCTGAAACATTGTAAATCAACTATACTTCAATTAAAAAATAAATTTTTAAAAACCATAAAAGACACAAAAGAGTATATATTGCATTGTTCCTTTTCTAAGAAATTCCAAAAGGCAAAATTCATCTATAGGAATAAAAAGTAGATTAGTGACTGTCTGAGGCCAAGGGTCAGAGGGGCTTGACTACAAAGGGGATGAGGACATTTTGGGGATGGTGGAAGTGTTCTTCAACCTAATTGTGGTGTTGGTTACATGAGTGTAAACATTTGTCAAGACTCTCCAAACTGTACAATTAAAATGGGTGCATTTCACTGTATTTATATTCCACTAAAATAAAGTTGTTTGAAAAAGAAAAAAGATAACACAGTAGCATCAAAAAAATCAGATACCTAGAAATAAATCCAACAAACAGGTACAAGTCCTCTATACTGAAAACTATAAATGAGAAAAATTAAAGACTTAAATATAAGCATAAAGTGCAATATTAAATATTTCACAAATTCTTTACAGCTCTTTTCATTAAGAGGTAGACTCTACTTCCCCACTCTTTGAATCTGAGTGGCCTTGTGATTTTTCTTTGCCCAGAAGAATGTGATGGGAATGATGTTGTGTAAGTTTCAGAGCCTAAGCCTAAAAAAAGCCACCTTTGGCCTCTTGGAGCACCATACTGAGGCTGCCATGTTTAAAAAAAATAAAACTGCTGACATACTAGAGGGTAAGAGGCCCATGGGGAAGAACCAAGGCGCCCCAGGCTGACACCTACACCAACTGCCAGATGCATGAGTGAGGCTATTCTGAACTTCCCAGCCCAGCTAACCCATAGAATCATGAACAATAATAAATTATTGCAATTTTAAACCATGAAATTTTAGGATGCTTCATTATATAGAAATAGACAATTAGTAGAAGTGATATACCATGTGCATGGATTGAAGATTAGATATTTTAAAGATGTTAATTATCACCAGACTGAGCTATAGATTCAATACAATTCCAGTAAAAATACCAATGGGTTAATTTTGTGGCAAGCTAATTCTAAAAATTATTTGGAAATATCAAAGGCCAAAAAATATCTACACCATTTTTAAAGAAGAACAAGGTGTGAAAACTTGCTATATGAGATATCAGGGTTTATTATAACCGCATAGTAATGAAAAGAATATGGTATTGGTTCAAGATTAGGTAAATGAACCAATGGGGAAGGTTACAGAGTCCAGAAATACACACATAAGTAACTGAAGACAATTACTGACACCATAATATTGAAGAGAATTGGAGAAAGAATAGTTTTTTAGATAAATGATACTTAATTAATTGGATATTCATATAGAAAAAAATCAAACTTGATCCATACCTCATAATGTACACAAAACATGAATTACAAGTGGGTTGTGGATCTAAACAATAACACTTTAACACTTTTGAAAGATGATAAAGGAGATCTTCACAATACCAGGGTGGAGAAAAACTTCAGAAATAAGACATAAAAAGAACTAAACTATAAGGAAAAGACTTATAATTTAGCTACTTTAATTTAAGAGAATCTCTTCCTTATTGGCGAGGAAGAAATTTTTCTCTACCGTTCTAGGTTCTTCTGGCTGATCAAAGAATTAAACTGACAAGAGACAGGTGAACAGGAGAAAAATCAAACAAAAGATCGATAATATGTATACATGGGGGAGACTCAGAAAAACTAACTCGCCAACTTGGCTGAAGCCCCCACCTTAAATACCATCTTCAGCTAAAGACAAAACGGGATGTTGGGGGTAGTGGCTTGGGACTTCAGACGGGAGGAAGGCAATTCACAGGGAGATGGAAAAGCAAATGTTTAGTAAATAAATATTTGCTGGGCTCTGCAGAGATGGTGGGACACAGAGTGGACTCTGATCTCTAAAAATTTCCCCCACCACACTGCCCTCATATTCCTTGTAGGTATCTCTGGTGATGATTCTATTCTAGGAACAGACCTTCTATCTAAATTCTTTTAGGCATTTTGGGGAAGGTCAAAATTTTCTTCTGAGTCTTCTGGGCCTTGATTGTTTTCAGCTGAAAATAATCAACATGCCAAAGAGACATTTTAGGGTGGCAAGTTTTGCTCCCCTAAGTCTTCAAAAGACACCATTAAGAGAGTGAAAAATGCAAACCACAGGATAGGAGAAATTATTTGCAACAATATAAGTGACAAAATGGCTTGTATCCAGAACCTCTACAAATTAATAAGGAAAAACAAAAAACAAAAAAAAGGGCAAAAAAACAACTGAACAGATACAATCCCCCAAGTACAAAGGCGCCTCCACGTCCCCTACGTCTTGTTTGTAGAAAAGCTGAAATCGTCTTTCTAAATCACAAAAGAGCAGTCTCAAAAAGTTAATGATAGGACAATAGAGTCACAGACTCAAGTGTCTGATGCACATTCTTGAGCTGTTTTACAGATATTGTAACTGCCATCAGAGGGGAAAAGCTAACTGCATGAAGACCAGACTGCAGCCATGACACAAGCTGCTCCATCTTGAGCAGGGCTGACTCTGTGGCCAGCACAGTTCCAAGAACAGGCCTTAACAGGGTGGGATTAACACTTTTGCTCATAATAATCTATATCTTTGCAGGCACCAAAATAATTGTAGCTTGTTTCGCCCATGTATGTAAATATGGCAACAACAATTGTCAGCAGAGAGATCTACAGACCCACGTCAACATCTTCCACTCTAAGAATACGGCACCCCGTGTCAGTATTAAGAAGTTACAGAAGATGTATCTTCCCCCATAACCCCACAGAAATGGAATGATGTTCTGACAAGTGGGGATTTGTAAGCAGCTTTTGGCAGGAAAGAGCTCTTTGCAGTAGGCCCATTTTGACTTGTCACTTACCTTAAACCAGGCACCTCCATCCTCCACTCATTTCCGGCTCCAGCACTCTTCCGTATCTTTTGACTGAAGCAGGAAGCCCCATAAAAAAACCGGCAGGACCCGTAGGCCGGGCGGCTGCTCTCCTCCCAGCACTGTCCGGTTCCCTGGCCCAGAGGCTCTATCTCACT